GAATCAGCCACGATTCGGAGATGCTGAGCTGACCAGGTACTTTCAGGGGATCCAATGTCCACCAGCAGGTAAGCTGGAGAAACCGGATGCTTGAATTCACGGGCTCTGCAAGATGCCTCTCAGTTCCTTGTGTTGCCAGCTCCGAGCTGCTTTTATCTTTGGGCAGTGATGCATAGCTAATGCTGACTGTCCAAAGCAAAGTCAAAGGCACTTAGTCCAGCTCCTTCCTTCCGCCACTGTCCTGCTCTTCCGCTGGGCATTGTTCAGATATCAACAACCTAACAGCACATGTAAATCCTTGCTGGAGATTTACCACCACGATCTCACCTCCTTCCTTTTCTTTTCATCCAACACCATAATACCGTAATCCTATCTACCTTGGGTCCAGATTATATTTTTAACTTAGTTCTGAGTCCCTTCCTGCCCCTCAGCTCATGCGGTCTTCACAAAGCCTCGTGAGTTACACAGCACAGAAGCTGAACAGGATATTGAGGAAAGGGGTTCAACAGAAGACCTAAATGCTTCAAGTGTCGGTCAGAAGCTGGGCTGGGACTCAGGGCATCAGACCCCGGCCAGAGGGTCCTTCTGTAAAATTCTACTTCTCAATCATTAGAGAACATTCGAGAGCCATGCGCTGTAGACAAAGTATTAGCCATAGGCAGTCTCGAACGAATGGAACCAAAACAAAAGGCCAGAGTCGTGTCAGTGGGGCCTCATCAAATTCAGTTGCTGGGTGGCTGCTCTCAGAGTTCCAGTGGCAGAGAAGCCTCCGCTGCCCCCCAAAACCACAGAGGCAAGTAAGAAAAGCAAGTAGGGAACACAAAGCAACACGCCAAGGGGGTAAGGTTGGGGGGGATAAATTGGGAGACTGGGATTGACATATACACGCTACTATATATAAACCGGATAACTAACAGAGGCCTGCTGTGTGGCACAGGGAACTCTGCTCGGTGCTCTGTGCTGGCCGCTGTGGGAGGGGAACCTGCAAGGGGGGGTGGACATATCAATACATGTATTATGGCTGATTCACTTTGCTGTACACCTCAGGCTGGCACAACGTGGTAAATCAACTGTACTCCAATAAAAATTAAAAAAAAAAAAAGATACAAAAGACAACAACAAAAAAGGCAACACTCGGTCAGAATTCACCCTGCCTTCCTGGGTGATCCATTCGGGCCCTTCCTGGCCCCAGGCCTTTCCCAGCACACACACTCTTCCTTTTCCTTCCGACCTACCTCACTCCAGTCTTGACAAAGCTGGGCCTTTATTTTTAGAACTTTGGGGAAAAGGAAGAGCTAAGGGCATAGAAAGAAAAAGGAAGGGACAGGCCATTTTGGCCCCTTGAAAGCTTCCTTCCTGAGGCCTCCCTAACACCTCCGTGCCTTGTGCTTGCATGTGTGCGTGCATGCACACACACACGCACACGCGTACACACACACGATATAAACGGCCAGTTCTCGAACCTTCTCCACATGGCTGCTGTTCTTCTACAGCAGCGTCTAAGTTGGACCAAAGGTCATACGGTTGGGTGGAAAAACCCTAGCACCGCTCCAGGGGCGCTCCAGGGGCATAACGAGCTAGAGGAACATACCCGACTCCTCTCAGTAGCGGTCAAGCACTTAATAAGCATGCGCTAATTAATCCTGCTCCCCTCAGAGGGAGCCGGCCAGGCCCTGAGGGCTTGAGTGACTTATCCAAGGCCAGAGCACAGCACAGGCTGCATGGGACCTGGGCCTTGCTGGCATCGGTGCTCTCTACGGTCCACCCAGAGCCCAGTGGAAGGGCCCTTCTTGCTGCTGCACAAGATCAGACGCAGTTACACCCAGAAGGGAAACCAGAGCTGCCAGCCCTGGTTACCACCATTCCCTCCAAAGGATGGTTCCAGACCTCGGTCTCATTCCTTCTTGAAACATCACAGCCTGGTCTTCCTGAATCCAGGAAACCATCACTGCTCTCTCCCACTTTCCATTTCATCACGCTCCTTCCTCCAGGCTTAAAGCCTAAGAAAGAGGCTTCTCAGAAGTGGAGCCCGGTGCCTTTGCTCTCTTTCTTCACAACTCTCCAGAATGAAGTTAAAAGTCTGCTCTCTGCACAGATGTAGAGCACAAACGTACCGATACCAAGGAGGGAAAGCAGCGGGGTGTGTGTGTGTGTGTGTGTGTGTGTGTGTGTGTGATGAATTGGGAGATTGGGATTGACATGTATACACTGATGTGTATAAAATGGATGACTAATAAGAACCTGCTGTATAAAAAATAAATAAAATAAATTCAAAAAAAAAAGTCTGCTCTCTGGAATCTCAGATGGCCCTGGGGAGAAGTCCCTCTTCTTACTGACCTGATTAAGTTATTAAGAGGAAGGCTGACCACATCAGCCTCTCTTGGCTGAAGTAGAAGAGATGCCAGCCCAGGTAGGGAGTAGACTAGATCAGATGACCGCCAAGGGCTCTGATGCTCCAAGACAGAGAATTTGAGAAGACAGAAGAGCAAGCCTACCCCCTCCCCAGGATGTTTCCTCATGACCCACTCTGTCACGTTTCCAGTAAAGAGAGGCAGTGCTAGTAATAATAGTAGCTGTGATAGGCTGAAAGGGGCTCCTCCCAAAATATTCATGCCCTAATTCCTGGAACCTGTGAAAAGAGGGTTTTGTGAATGAGATTAAGTTAAAGACCTTGAGATGGGGAGATTATCCTGAATTATCTGGGGAGGCCCTAAATGCAATCACAGTGTCTTCATAGGAAAGAGGCAGAGGGAGATTTGACACAGAAAGAAAAGAAGGCAAGGCAACCACAGAAGCAGAGATTGGAGGGATGCTGCCACAAGCCAAAGAATGCCAGCAGACGCCAGGAGCTGGAAGAGGCAAGGAATAGATTCTCCCTTAGAACCTCCGGAGGGGGCAAAGCCCTGCCAACACCTTGATTTCAGCCCAGGTATGCTGATTTAGGGCTTCTGGCCTTCAGAACTGTGAGAGAATAAATTTCTGTGTTTTTAAACAACCCGGAATGGGGTAATTTGTTAAAACAGAAACTAATACAGTAGCTAACACTTAAAGATCACCCACTGTGTGCCAGGCACTGCTCTAAGTGTTTTACCCACATTAACTCATTACATCCTGGTTCTGGATGTGAGGCCTGAGCTGAGCCGACACATGCCTGAGTTTGAATCCCAGGTTCACTGCTCACTGTTGTGACCCTGAGCAAGTTATGCAACCTCTCTAAACCTCTGTTCCCCAGTTCATAAAATGGGCATAGAATTACCTTTCTCACTGCGCTGCTGGGAGGATAAAATGGATAATAAATGTGAAGTGCTTAGAACAGTACATAGTAAGTACTCACTAAATGCTAGTTATTATGAGATCTCAGGGATAGAACAAGCCAAAATGAAACCATCATCCTAATGTTTCAGCACGTAGCCAAGGCCCCTTGGACCCAGTGCAGGAAAGATGTCCTGTTAAAGCCACCTCAAAGAGCAAACACCTCGGTCTGAAGAATTCAGTTAAGTATTTCTTCCCTTCATTAAGCAATTTAGGTCCTTAACGCTGGCCTCATTTTAGAAAAGGCGAATGCCAGGGGCTGTGCTAATTCTGCAGCCTTGCCCCACAGACTGCTGGCCCCTACCTGCCCCTTCTTAAGGACAGCTATGCACATCCATCATACGAAGGACCTGACTTGCAGCTTCCACACCTGGCACACCCCTGCAGAGCCCACCACATCTTCTCCCTGTAACTCTGGCGTCAGCAACTGGAAGTTAGTAGGAGGCAGAAATGTCAGTCCATTTTATGGCCTTCCAAGGCCACTCCGACCTGTCCCAGCAGGCTGGGTGGAATGATAAAATCAGGGATCAGTTTTGATCAAGAGATTACAGCCAAGTTACTAGTAAAGAATAAAGGTTTGCCCAGAGGCCAAGTAAGGGAGACCTAGCACTATCACCTGAAAAAAGGGAGAAGAAGACAAACTTTCCTCAAGTTGGCCCTTTCTGATAAAGTTTGCCCAGCTCCCTGTTCAGGTGATGTCATTCAAAGAAGCAGCGCCCTACAAGGATCCCAGGCCTTGTGTCCCAGCCTAAGAAATCTGCATGTGAGGAATTCACCGAGGGAGAAGGGCCTGGCCACCCGGCCTAGGCAGCGTTCCAGCCCCACGGCCTTGGGCGGCCAGCCTCCGAAGACTCCTGCTGCCGCTGCTGCCTGGTGCCGGCGACCAGGCCTCTTCCCAGCAAGCTGCTGGGGCAGCCACCTGCGCGCTCTCTGCCCTTCCCTACCCCGCCCTCCCGGAGGAAGAAGGATGAGGGAGGACTGCTCCCCTCCTCACTCTCAGGCACCCACAGATTCCTGCGCTGCCGTCACCGTTGACGAGAACCCAGGGCCCCTGGGGGAAGTGCTTCCCCTTCTCATTCCATCCTCCCCATCAATGAACAAGAGGCAATCCCAACGCTCCCGCCCCTCCTACTCCGAGGGAGGCAGAACCCGAGAGCGACATCGGAGCTGGAAGCCGCAGCAGTGGGAGGGCCGGCCTCCCTGCCCCGCCGTGCCTTGCCCTTTCCCAGCCATCAGAGGATCCCAAGCCAGCCCGGCGTTCCGGATCAAGAGGGTGCCCGAATCCTCGGTGGGGCCCCGCCTCCCCGGGGGCTCAGCGCTGGAGACCTCGGGGAGCCCGAGAGAGACTCGCTTAGCCCCACCCTCTGAGGCCGGGCGCGGGCCACCGTACCCGGGACTCGAACCCTGTGCCCTAGCCCTTAGGCATCCCGCACCCTTAGGCACGCCTCACCGTAGGCATCGCCAGCAAGCCCCCAGCCCAGCGCTCGGGCGCGGAGCCCTCCCCTGCACCCCCGCCAGGAGGAACCGAGTCCCGGGCCGCCCGCGCGCCCAGCCTACCCCCAACAGGTCGTGGGCAGCGGGGAACGCGCCGCCCGCCGGGCAGGCGCCAGGAGGCGAGCCGGAGCGAAGCCGAGGGCCGGTCGCTTGGGGCGGGAGGGGTCGCCCGGGCGGCGAGCCCGGCCACTTACGCGCGGGCTCTGGGGAACCCCATGGACAGGAGCACGTCCAGCGCCGATCCATGCTTGATGGTGCCGGGGCGCTGCTGGCGGTTCCTCCGCGGGGTGACTTTGCTGTACAGCTCCTCTCTCGCAGCCATGCCGAGCGGGCTGGGGTGGCCGTACTGAGCCATGCTCAGCGGCCAGCCATCGCCCGGGGAGGCGCCCAAGCCGGAGGGTCCCGGAGGGCGGAGGACTGGCCCGGAGCCGGGGCGGGGGCTCGGGGACCCGGTGCCGGGAGGGAGGCGGCGGCGGCGCTCGGAGCTTCCCCGGTGTCGAGACTGACGCTTCCTGGTGAGGCCACCGGAGCCAGAACGGCCCGCCGCAAGCGGCTTCTCCCCGACCGGCCGTCAGCCCCTCGGGGCCCGGGTGCCCCCTGCACGGCGCCCGCAGCAGCCCTCTCTCCTCCGCCCCTCTCCTTCTCCGCTCCCAGCAGTCCGGGAATTTGCACTGAGTAATTTTTGAATGGATCAAAAAGGAAAAGGAGCCTTGTGGGCCGGCCCTGCCTGGCCTGTACCCGGGCCCCGCCCCTCTCTTAAAGCGGCAGCGCAGCCCGCGGCTGCTCCCGCAAGCTGTGGAGTCCAGGTGCTCTGGGCGGAGGATTCGAACCAGCGAGGGCTGCCTGTGTACACTGGTTCCAGTTGGTTCCGGAGAGTCACTCCCAGCGCTCCAGCTTCTCCATGGCTGCCATCAAGGGACAGCTGGGCCTCAAGACACAAGATCAACCCATTTCAAGTTTCCTGTGGTTCTAGACGGGGTTTTATTAATGGAAATTGGGCGAACTGATGGATGACATTAATGCACCAGAAGGCCAAGCCATGAGGCCCAGATAAAACGTTTTGATTCCCAAAGACCCTGCAAAATCCAGAGGATTGGGTTACGGTTCCTGGAGACCAAGTTCCCATCAGCTGGCTAAGGGCTACACTGAAGACCTTCTGTGTTCTCCGTGACCTCCGTGGCCTAGACGGTGACTTCAGGGCAAAGGGTGGAACCTGGGGCTCTCGGCCTAGGAGGGGAGAGGAAGGGAGGGAAAGGACAGGGCAGAAAGAAGAGGGAAGGGAAGATGCCAGGAAGAAGGAGGCGGAGAGGAAGGAAGTGGGAAGTGGAGGAGGGTGGAGGGAGCCGGAACAGAGAAAGAACACTTTCTAATTGTAAAAGGTGTGCAACGTGGAATGGGTTGATTTTCAACAGCAAATGAGTACCCCGTCAATAAAAGCATTCAAAGTAAAGACTGGAGCACCGCTGCTCAGCAGTGACGAATAAGTAAATTGCATCATAGTTTGGCTCAAATTACTCCCACCTCAAAGAAGGTGGAAGTCCTAGACATCCCTACTCCCCAGTGCCCCACACCATGAACTTGGCTTGGGGATGTTAAAGCTCTTCCATTCGGAGACAAACTTACGGTCCTCAGTCAGGGACAAGGACCCTGCCTGGTGTAATGCAAAAGGCAGAGAGTAAAGCCCGGCTGCTCTTTTTCAGGCAATAATAATAATTATAACACCACCTAACATTTATTGGGCTCTTGTATGTGTCAGTCATTGTGTTCAGGATAATAAATGAATTAACTCATTGAATTTTTATGACCCTATGGGGTGTGTATGATTATTATCCCAGTTTGCAGAAGAGAAAACTCAGCTTAGAGAGGTTGAGGAAGATTGTAGGGCTGGTAAGTCAGAGCCAGAGCTTTTGGTGCCTTGGATGAGTTGTTTCTGCTCTCTACAGCCCCGTGTCCTTATCTGTAAGCATCATAGTAACTAACCTTACACAGTCTGGGTTCTCCAAAAATGTCAGCTCCTCCCCTTGCCTGGAGCATGGGGGAGGGATGATGACCGGCTCCCAAGGAGCAACTTTTTGATGTTGCTTTATAAAGCATCCAAGGGTTTTACCAGGGGAAATGACACAGCTTAATTCTCTTAGCCCAGAATTTGTTTTCTAAAAAATATCCAGTGGTGTTTGGAAGTGGGGAGATAAGGACTACTGGGGCCTAAGTAACCATGTGCATAATTCTGTCTCCTGCTGTGTAGGGGATGAGGAAAAGTTCCTGGGTGGGGGCTTCTGCCGGAGCACAGCAAGTGCCCTGAAGCGATGCAGAGGGCTTCTCCTGGGCATGGAGCAAAGAGACAAACCATACCTAGTAGACTAGCCTCCCTGGGACGTGTTCGGTAAACGACGCTGGACCTTACCCGATATTCTGAATTTCTTCCAAATGCCTGGGCTGGGAGTCAAACGATCTGGAACCTAGTCAAGCGTTAATGTCTGTAGAAGCACTTTGTAAACCATGAGTACCACACAAATAACAACTGAAATTTACTGAGAACTGATGCTGTTCTTAGCGTCTTCCACATATAACTCATTAGTCCCTTGACAAGACAATGACGTAGGTACCACCATATTACCATTGGCCATTTTACAAATGAAGATCTTGAAGGAGACAGAGATAAGCATCTTCTCCAAGATCACATGGCCAGTAAGTGGTTTGAACCCTTAAAATTTTTCCAAACAACCACTTACAGCCATTACTATGATGATGAAGAGATGCCATGTTATTAAAATAACATGGTCAAATAATAACCTTTTTGACTCCTCCTGTTACCGCACTGAATTGGGGTCCACTCACTCAAAGTGTAGCAAAGCCAGTTTACTGATGCCAGATTGTGGTGAAGGAAAGTAGAGTGTTTATTTCAGGGCACCAAGCAAGGAAGTGGGAGACAAGCCTCAGATCCATCCCAATTTGATCCCTGAGTTAGGGTTTTTTTGGTTTCTCTTTCTCTTTTTTCCACACGGCTTGCGGGATCTTAGTTCCTTGACTAGGGATTGAACCCGGGCCACAGCAGTGAAAGTGCTGAGTCCTAATCACTGGACCGCCAGTGAATTCCCTGGTGTTTTTTGGTTTTGTTTTTTTCTAAAGAAGAACAAAGAGGCTGCGATTAATCCTCATCCTGTGATATTTCTCTGACATTTCTCGGAGTCAGGATGTCTCTGGTTTACAATCCTCTGGCCGCGTGGCCCATAGCTCGGGGGCCTGTTAGCTCCTCTTGCCCTGGAGAAACCTGAGTTTGTTCGTTAATGATGATATCTAATGATACAACAGCAATTTTATCAACAACAGCAATTTCAGTACGTTAACGATGTTATCAACCACAGCAATTTTAGTCATCTGACTCTGGTGGATTAGTGTTCAGTTCGCACGGGATTGAAGTCAGAGGGGACAAGAAAGGAAAGTTTCGGATAGAGAGATTAGTCATAAACTTGGTAACGGAACTCAGTTTTACGGGGACTCAGTTTCACTCCTATCCCCCTTGACATAGAATTGCTGGATCTCTGTTTCTCTAGAAAAATTGAATTGTCTTTCTCCCTCCTCTAGGCAAACTGTGAGAGGAAATGATGGGTATAAAAATAGTTTTAGGTAGCCTGGAAAAAGCACTATGGAAAAACCAGACACCTTAGACTCAAACTGTTCTGTCTGAGGCACTTCTACAGGAATCCCATCCCGGCTTCCTCATCAGGCTTCAGCCCAGTGCCAGCACTCATTTTACTTAAGACTGCAGCTGTTTTGTTCTGCATGAGTAAGGTGCTGGCAACTAAGATGCATTGTGCTTTAATTGTACTGACTTTGAAAAGCTAGGAGAAGCTTTATAAAAGTCTATATTGTTATATGACAAAGAGAAGAGGAATGACTATTCATTGGACAGGATATCTGACAGCAGTGGGGAGGAGAGAGGGGGCCTCACACAGTGAGGAAGCTGACACATCAGCGTCACGCTGCTCTCTCAGAAGGGAAGCAAGTTGTCATGTCCCCCTGCACCCACAGGTCATGTCCGAATCCACCCTGGACCACAGCCTCTTTTATTTCCTTTGGCAGCACCACTCGGCTTGTGGGATCTTAGTTCCCCGACCAGGGATTGAACCTAGGCCCTCAGCAGCAAAAGCGTGGAGTCCTAATAAGTGGACCAGGGAATTCCCCACAAACCTCCTTCTGTTCATGTGAGCACTGTTTAACTGCACGCCCGCTGCCCCAGCCACTTTCTTGGTGTGGCAGCCCTTCTGACAAGGCCATCGGGATGCCCAGGCGGGCCCAGTTAATTGCACTCATAATTTCTGAAAGTGTGTCCTGTGCCTTTCCCTTCTGCTTCTCTCTGTCCTCGAGAAAAGGTCAAGAGATCCCATTAAGCACAGGCACTAAAGTCTGCAGAATGTCTCCAGTCCCAAGGGTTGGGATATTGCTTTGTCAAAGGCACTTTTCAAACCACTGGGATGCCATTAGCCCCTAGACTTCCTGGGGATTTCTCATGGCCAGAAGGTTTTGAAACTATGCGATAAGGAAAGAAAGGAAGCGGCATGGGAAGGTTCCAGAGCGAGGAATTGGGACGCCTAGGTGTTGGCTGTGACTTAGATGTTCTCTCTCCTTCTCTAGGCTAAATGAGAGGGATAGAGAACTTACCTGCTTCCTCATCTGCCAAATGAGGGGGTGGCTTAAGCTGGGGACTCCTAGGACTTTGCCTGGGGACCCTTGGGGACTCTTGTGGGCAGGGGTTGGTGCTGTCAGCTGAAAGTTGGAGTGGGCAAAGCATGGCATCCTCTCTTCCTCTTGGGGATTTTATATAAGGTTTTCTATGGGAAGATGGTTTAGAAGATTAAAAAACATTTTGAAAAACACTGAACTAGATGATCTTTAACGCCTAGTTTTGTTCTGAGAGACCATAATTTAACAAGAGGGAAAGTAAAAGGGGAATGAAGTCCGATTGGTGAGTAGGGGCCAAGGTTGCTGGGAATGGAGGGACAGGTGAGGAGTGGGGTGGGGGGAGGGGAGAAGGGTCCACACAGGTCGAATGTTAGGGTAAAACAAACTTTAAAAAGTCCTATTGTTATGTCATATGATATCGCTTATGTGTGGAATCTAAAAAAATTATACACATGAACTTATTTACAAAACAGAAAGAGACATAGAAAACAGACTTCTGGTTACCAAAGAGGAAATGGGGTGGGGGGAGGGATGAATTGGGAGGTTGGGATTAACAGATACACACTACTATATATAAAATAGATAACCAACAAGGACCTACTGTAGAGCACAGGGAACTATAGTCAACATTTTGTAATAACCTATAAGGGAAAAGATTCTGAAAAAGAAGATATGTGTGTGTGTGTGTGTGTGTGTGTGTGTGTGTGTGTGTGTATGTGTATATATATAAATATAACTGAATCACTGTTCTGTACACCTGAAACTAACATGATATTGTAAATCAACAATACTTCTATAAAAAAGAAAAAAAAAGTCACATTGTTTCCACCACTAGAGGAAATGATAGTTATATGACTTGACAAAATGCTACAGTGGAAATCATACTGCAATATAAATGCATCAACTCAATATGTTGTACACCTTAAATTTACACAATATTATATGTTAATTATACCTCAATTAAAAAAATTAAATTTAAAAAGGGTCATATCTTTTCTACCCTGTCCTGAGGCACAGTTATAACATGTCTAAGGATCTGGAGATTGGTGACTATTTCACAGTCTTGAATTTGTCTGTAGGACTTAGCCCAGTGCTGGGCACGCAGGAAGCCTATACTTGTACAATTACTGCTGGGTTGTTGAATCTGTGAAGCCTCGTATACGGTAGGAAAAGGTAAGGCTGAAACAACGTTAGGAGCATCAATCCAAACCACTAAAAAAACTTATGTTTTTTCCTCATACATTGAAAAAATTAAGATCTCTCCCTCAATTGCAAAAGGAAGAAAGAGAGAGTGGGGGAGTCTATTCTCACTTCTCTTTTGTCCGTCTCTGAACAAAACTCCCAGCGTGTCTATTTTGGAATCCTCGTAGGAGACACTCCATTGTGTATGCTTCCTCCTTGGAAAAGCCTCATCCTAAATGTCACTGCCGAAGGGTCTGTGTCCCTGACTTGCCACAAGACAATAGAAGTGTTGGGAAATAAACAGTACAAGCTTAATCAAAGGTTAATGCCACTTCTCACATAACTTCCTTTTTGTATACAAAAGGAAATGTACAGGAAACTTAAGGGGAAATTTTATTTCCAAGAAACAATATAAAATTAAGTAGCTGTAAAAACCCGAGGGATCCAGACAAAACTGTAATTCGAAAAGATACATACACCCCAATGTTCCTAGCAGCACTATTTACAATAGCCAAGACATGGAAACAACCTAAATGGCCATGGACAGAAGAATGGATAAAGAAGATGTGGTATATATATATATACATACACACAGAGTGGAATATTATTCAGTCATAAAAAGAGTGAAATGATGCCATTTGCAGCAACATGGATGGACCTAGAGATTATCATACTAAGCCAAGTAAATCAGAAAGAGAAGGACAAATACCATATATCACTTTTATATGTGGAGTCTAAAATAAGACACAAATGAACTTATCTACGAAACAGAAAAACACTCACAGACATAAAGAACAGACTTGTGGTTGCCAAGGGGGAGGGGAGTGGGGGAGGGATGGATTGGGAGTTTGGGATTAGCAGATGCAAACTATTATACATAGAATG